CTGACCCGCCCACTGCTCCCCTCAGCAGTGTACTTTGTGGATCTGCCTGTTCTGCTCCCCATTCTGTCCCTGTTGAATCCTCTCACCCTCCACATCTCTGACCTGTACCCCAATTCTATATGAATAAATAAAATGAATATGAATAAATCTTTAAAAAAAACAAAGCATGTTATTCTTCAAAATAGTCTATTTTTAAGGTTACCTGGTTTTTCTTTTTAATGAAGACTAAGTTGCAAAGGAAAAAATTAATAGAAAAACTTCATTTTTATGTTCATCAAATCTAATGATAGGAAAACATGGACTGGGTATTCAATATCAAGCAATTTTTTTTTTTAAAGATTTATTTGTGCATACGGAACTGGGGTACAGGCCAGAGTTGCAGGGGCAGTGAGAGGATTCACCAGAGACAGAGTGGGGAACAGGAACGGCAGATTGACAAAGTAGGCTGCTAAGGGGAGCAGCGGGTGGGTCAGGAGAGGTCTGCCTCGCCACGTGGATCACCTCCAGAGCAGGCTGGGATCAAACTCATGCTGAAGTGGCTGTAGCTTCTTAGTGCTATGCTTTTAAACCGTTGTGCCACCAGGGAGGGCCCTCAAGCAATTTTTTAATGGCCATATTTTAAGATGTAATACAAGGTCTTAACCTGACAAATGTAAAGATGGGGTGTGCTTTAAAATTATCTAGTGATAACGCACATCTGAGGAGGTTATGAGCCTAGTTCCTCTAAATCATATACAGCAATGCAAGCAAGTATCACCGCAAATAAATAAAATTGTCTAGTAGGAGAAGGGATAAGGTTAGGAAATAAACTTCAAAATATTGGTGATGAGTTGGTAACTAGTAAATCCATAAGATGGTCAGTTAGGTATATATCATATTATGTTCTCTACCTAAATGTGTTTGATAATTTCCACAGTTAAAACATTAATCAACTGTTGTAGAATCTATAAAATAGAAGCAGTAACTCATATAGTTTCTAATACTTTTAAACCCCGTGAGCTTAATTTTGCTAAGATAAAATAGGTAAAGTCCCAGGTGACTAGTAGAATAATATGATATGCCCAACCTTTGTCAGTTCTGGAAGATAAACAGAAGTTTCACCTAGTTTTTTCTCCCATCCTCTGGCAAGGATGCAGCAAGCCCAGCTAACAGAAGGCTCACCATATGGTATGAACTGGATGGTACATGTTGGCATATAGAATACTTAATATATGAACATTCCAGTCATTGCCAGTACATCTATTGAGGCCCTCTTTTATAAGATTCTGTTTATTTCCATTGCAAATGCTAATAACTACATCAAGAAAAACTTTTAAAAAGATTATTTGATTCCTCAGGGAAATCTTACCTTCACAAAGCTGTTGACAGCCATGATGGCCATGTCTGGCTGACTCTTGGCATAGTTCATCAAGTAGAGATACACTAGCTTCTTTAGTTCCAAGTTGTCAGTCTGCATACAATTCACAACATCTGGGAAGAGAGAGCTAAGAAGAGAAGAGAAAAGGAAATGAAATAGATGTTGGTGCTATATAAAAGCAGCCATATTTTAGATACTGATTTGATGCCAAGGCAAATATTCCCATAGAGGTAATAATTATCACAAAGATGAGTCACTAAAGAAAATGGTCCCAAAGTCTCTACTCAATAGATTAAAACAAACAAGAAACTTTTGCTTATGCAAATTTTCGAACAAACAAGAAAAGCAGAAAACTGTATAATGCATCCAATGTACCCATTACCCAACTGCAAACACTGATCCGTGTCCAATCTTGATGCTCAATCCATTTCCCCCTTCCTCCAGTTCTTATATTTAAAATTACTCTATATTATTTTTAAACAAATCCTATGCATTATATCACTTAATAGATAGTATTTTATTATATATCTTTAGGAATCTTTTTTTAATCCACTATCACACCCAAAACTAATAACAACTCTTCATGTTAACCCACTGAAGTTTCAAAGCACTACAATTATACTTTTGAAAAACTACATTTGTCATATTTGTTCATACTTCACCAGTGGTAACTTACTCAGATCCTGAATTCTTGTGTCATTTACTGGATTTTTCAAAGCTTCCTTACTTTATGTTATGACAAGATGCTCATTTTATACATGTCTAACCCTAAACCAGCAATTAGTCATTTCTTCAGAGGCCCTCATTACTTTTTATTTTCTTATTTACGTTTAACATTCACATTCAGACAAATGAAAAATTCAGTATAATCAAATACAAAAGTTCTAATCAAATTCATGATTTACCATTCTTCTGTAAAGCTGCAGAAATGTTTCCATTTACACAGTACCAATTAGCAAAGAAGAGCTGAACATGTCAGTAAAGTGTAAGCTATATATTTAAATAAAGATAAAATTTTATGGAAAATTCAATTAAGCTTTATCTGAAGGCTTTATCACAGTAGCCTACAAATTTTAAAGACTTTTAAGTATCTTATTACTAGTACAGCAGAGAGGCAAATACAATATATTTCTATGAAAAGAGAGTAAATGAAGTGGTTACATGGTATAGTTCTTATACAGGCAAACAATAATACAGAAACCTAAATCATTTACAAAAAGGAAGATTTATCACAAAGTCAAAACTCTACCATATTACCAATGACTGCCCTGGAAAGCAAATTATTTAATGTGAATGTATTTATTTATTTATTTATTTATTATTTAATGTGAATGTAGATACTTACTGTATCTTCACACGCATGTAAACATTTTATAAATACTAATAAACACTCCTCAAAAGCATTCTATCCATTTCTTTAGGGCAAACTAATGTTACAAAATAACCACAAATTGAAAAAGTAAATAAACGAAACATTAACCAACAGTAAATTTAATACCTTAAATAATTAAATTCCCATGACCTGAATAAGATGTTGACCTAAAACTGTTAAGGACCAACCAAGAAAGGCTAGAAACCTGAGTATTCTAATGTAATAGCCACTGTTCACATGTGGCTGCTGACTACTTACAATGTGGCTAATCCAAAGTGAGATATGTGATAGAAATGTAAAGCACATTTGGATTTTGAAGTCTTAGAATCAAAATTACAATGTAAAGTGTCTCACTAAAATTTTTGTATTAAAAAAATTTTTTTGTATTGACCCAAAAGACACAAGAACACTGATTCAAAAAGATGCCTGCACCCCCATGTTTATTGCTGCCTTATTTACAATTGGACAAACATGGAAACAGCCCAAATGCCCAAAAGTGGATGACTGGATTAAAAAGATATGGTACATATACATAATAGAATATTAATCAGCAACCAAAAAAAAAGAAACACATGTCTTTTGCAGCAAAATGGATGGAGTTATAGAACATCATGCTTAGTGAAATAAGCCAGAAAGAAAAGGAAAAATACCAGATGGTTTCACTCATAGCAGTAATATAACAGACCAGGAGAGAAAATAATAATAATAATGAATTATAGACCAGAGACATTTTATGGGGATAGAGTGGGGAATGGGATCCAAAACAGTGGGGGGAGGGAAATACACGGGACTATGGTGATGGCACAGGATGATTTGGTGATGAGAAACCCATAGGGAGTACAAATGAGATGAAAATAATGCACAAAACGATGTAAAAATAAAATATTATATATTAAAAAAAAAGACTAAACATCAAAAAAATTTTTTGTATTGATTTCATGCCAAAATGACACTATCTTATATATACTGAGCTATGTAAAATGTAATACAATTTGTTTTACTTGTGTAACATAGCTACCAGAAAATTTTAAATCACCTATGAAATGTATTTTAATGAGTGAGCACTGAACTTAAAGAGTAGACTAAATTATGAATACCTAGAGGGGAAGTGGAAGGTTAAGAGCAAATTGAGGAGGGAGCCCAATCAGCCCTGCTGGTGGGTGGGGCTACAACCATCTAAAGAGGTATGATCCCATACCTCTAAATTATATATATTGCTGTAAACCAGTGTTGCCTCAATAAAATAAATAAACTATGGCAACCTGCAAACACGTACGATTTCTCTCTTCTCTATTTTCCTTTTAGCTATTTCTCTAGGCACAGGTCAAATACCATCTCCTCTGAGGAGGGTTCCTCAACTACTCCTATTTACATGAATCTTTTGTAGAATTCTTACTGCACTTAGAAAGACATTCGTACTTAATTAAATAAACATATTTTATTATTTGCTAATTTGAGGTATATTCAATTACTAAGTTCTTTGAAGGCTAAAAGATATCTGCTATATCTTTTTGTTTGAATTCTGATATATCGAATAGTGCACAAAATAATCACAATTAACAGATTAATAGATAATTTGTTGCACACATACACAAGAAACTCAAAAGGGTTTTCAACTTTTCTGTAGTATGTAGAAATAAATTTGGTAAGAAAACAAAAGCCTCACTAGCAAAGTTTACTAACTTTTCCGGCTCCTCTCTACTGCTCTCACTTTAGAATTATTCCTCAACACAAAAGCCCTAGAGGAGCCTCTCTGGTAGTAGATGGCTCAAGTCTCAGCACTCTCAAGCTATTTTCAGCCACAGCAAAGAGTTCAATCCCTCCCTCCCCAGGGTAGTGACTCATATGGTATAGCAGACCTCTCCTGTGTTCACTGCTCCCCTCAGCAGTATATTTCAGTTATTTCAGCTCTGCCTGTTCTGCTCCCCACTCTGACTCTGGTGAATCCTTTCATCCCCCAAGCTCTGGCCTGTACCTCAGTTCTTGTATGCATAAATAAATAAAATTCTTTTAAAAAAAAACACTAGTGGGCCCTCCCTGGTGGCACAGCGGGTTAAAGCACAGCACTAAGAAGCTTAAGCCACTTTCGCATGAGTTCGATCCCCGCCTGCCCCGGAGGAGATCCACATGGTGTGGCAGACCTCTCCTGACCTGCCCGCTGCTCCCCTCAGCAGTGTACTTCCTTGATCTGCCTGTTCTGCTCCCCAATCTGTCTCTAGTGAAGCCTCTCACCCTCCGCATCTCTGGCCTGTACCCCAGTTCTGTGTGAATAAATAAATAAATCTTTAAAAAAAAATTAGTGACTTGTTCATAGGTAGACAAGATACAGACAGCGGGCAAAATTCAGCCCACCAATTCTGCACAAGCCATGAATTAAAAAGTGATTTTTATAGATGAATATTTATAATTGATTTTTAGAGAATACTAACTCTGAATCCCAATCTTCTCAGTAGACTTATAGTACAAAAATTTACTGTATTTTGAGTATCAGCAACAAAAAATTTATGAAAACTTGTTATTTGGTTATATAATTACTTTATATAATATCCTCAGCTTTGGCTCTTGCCTCGCTAAATCTAAAGTACTTACTATCTTGCCTGTTACACAAAAAAGGCAAGATGAGACAGGATGTCACAGAATAGCAACTTAAGAATCAGTTGTGTTGTTCCTGGGTTTTGGAACCACCGCTCCCCCAAAAGTACCAATTAACAAACTAATAAAACTACAATTAACAGAACTCCACCTCCAATGGGAGGCACCCAGAGCATAAGACGATACTGGGTCATTTCTTATTTCCATAAGGCTCTCCTCTGGTGAGAAGGACTGTTCTCACCTTCCTGGCACTTTTACACTATTAAAATTTTCTGAGGTCCCCAAAGAGATTTTCGTTCATGTGGGTTATACCCATTGTTAGGGATTAAAACTGAGAAAACAATAACATGTAAAAATTACAATAAATGTCATATTAATATATCACCTTTATATAAATTTTTTTCACAAATGAAGATGACTGACAGTATTTTACATTTTTGAAAATCTCTCTAGTATCTAACTTAAACGAAGACAGACTAGTTTTAATGTGGATTCTCCTATTTGCCCCTGTTGTAGAATGTTGTTTTGGTTTAAAGTGTAAGAAGAAAATCCAATTTCATATATATGTATAAATGTATGGAAAAAAGAGAAGCATTTTAATACCTTTTCATATAACTGTATATTCTTCCTTGACACATTAAAACTAGACAAATGGTTATTTCCCCTTTGTCTTAGTTCACAAATTATTAAAAGTTAGTTGCAATGTGGAGTCTGAAATGATATGGACATAATTATTTGATATATACACTGATCATTTGGAAAATATAGGCTCACTGAGTTATGTAAGTCTTCTTGAGTCTGACATATTTCATTATATAACAGCAAATAATCACATTCGTTAATCTCACTAACAGTCTCAACAGGAAAGTACTAGAATGCTGTCAAGTTCACAAAAAGAGATGTTAAGTTTTCCAACATTTTAATTTTTACTTTAAAGCTTAAAATGTATCTACTGTCAATTTTCTCCCCTTGAAGTGATAGGTCCACTTTGTTCATTTCTGATAAAAATGTCTCCTAAATACTGAAGGCTGATTAACTACAACTTGTCAATCATTCTTTCACAGAAAAGTATGTTCTCCATTTCAAAAATCACACAGGGACTTTTTCTCAAGTCAACCATTTCTCCATGATACACAGAAGTGCTTTTTATGAATAATTCATATTTCATCATATGGAATGTTTTAAAAACTCATACTCAACATTCAAAATTTAATAAAATAAAATTTTAATGCTTCAATAATGACAGTTCTTAGTGAAAATACCCCTTACCCTACAAGTACATAACAGTTAAAAATACAATGATAGAGCCTTCCCAGGTGGCACAACAGGTTAAAGCGCAGCACTATGAGGCTACCTGCAGCTCCAGCCAGTGACAGGGGACCCAATTGACACAGCAGACCTCTCCTGCCTTGCCCGATGCTCCCCTCAGCATTGTTTCAGTTGACTGGCCTATTCTGTTCCCAGTTCTGTCAATAGTGACTTCTCTCACCCCCTACACTTCTGGCTTGTACCCCAGTTTTTGTATGCATAAATAAGTAAATATTTTTTTTTATCTTAAAAAATATATACAATGATACTGCTAGGCAACAGCAGTGCAAATGTTAACATAATGAAAAAGTTAAATAATAATTACTGACATAAAAATAACTTTGACTTTATGGTCCCCCAGAAAGGATCTTGGGAATCCTAAAGAGTCTGTAGGTCCTAATTCTTATTTACTTCTAAATGGTCCTGCCAAATTACGGGGTTGTGGGGCATAAAATAAAACCAAATGGACTTTATTAACTTTGATTTTCATCCTGAATTCAGCAACTGAGTTGGAGTTATTATGAATCTGAAGGCAGTGGCTTGAGTCAATTAAAGAACATATGTGCTTGGGCCTTCCTGGTGGTGCAAGGGGTTAAGTCTCAGCACTATGAAGCAATCCACTGCCACTGCAGTTTGCGGTCAATCCCCACCTAGGGAAGTGACCTACACGGCTCAGCAAACCTCTCATGTCTCACCTGCTATTCCCCTCAGCAGTGTATTTCAACCTGTCTATTCTGCTCCCTATTCTGTTCTGGTGAATCCTGTCACCCACCCTGCACCTCTGACTTACATCCCAGCTCTTATATGCATAAATAAAAAATCTTAAAAAAAAAATATGCATACCTGAGTATATTTTTTGTAAACTTCTAACCACCTCAACAATAGATTTGTAACTATGCCAGCTCTTGGGAAGTAGTTCACTACACTTTCCAAATTTTGTTTTCACTGGGAAAACCCATTCTTATAGGTTCTATAATTCACATGAATCTTCATGAAGAGCACTAAGTGGGTTATGGGTCTAAAGTGACCAACAATGGCGGTCATCATCATTACCTGACATCCTTCCCGACAGTCATAGCAGCAATCACTTTTTTCACAGCCTCCTTTCTCTTTTCCTTCTTTTCATTGTTGAGTTCAGCTTTTAATTCAAAGATTTCTCCTACAAGAAAACAGAACAAATGGGTGAGGTCCCAAGAGATCTAAACAAAATATTGCACTGTATAATTACAACACAGCAGCTAACCAAAGGCTGCAACTGAAATAACATTATTTAAAAATTATACAGTAGGTATGACCCAAATCCCAGAATATTAACTGACTCACTGATGGTGACACTGTCTTCTAGGTTATGGTAGGAGAGCAATGGCAATTCAGATGTTTAGGAGCCACACAAGTGAAGAAAAAGCAAATCTCACATATCTAACTTCAGTGGGGAGAGAATGCATGTGAGAAATGATATCCCAGCAGAGTTTTAAGGGCATTCAGGAAAAAAATGAACGAAGGAAGGGAACATGCTCACACATCAGTGTTTTCAAGTCAGAAGAGAATCTAATTACCTCATTCACCCACTATCAACGTTATAAAGAACTGAGGCTCAAAGGTCAAAGAATGAGTAAGTGACAGAGCTGGCCTTAAAACTCTACCTACTGATTATTGATTCCAGTGGGTCTCAACCCCGGCAACACACTAATATTATCTGTAAAGTATTTAAAAATAACAATGCTTAAGACCCCCTGGGGAACAAATAAATCAGTATGTCAGAGAGAACTCTTAGATTCATTTTTAAAGTTCCCCAAAGTGATTCTTAGAGGACAGAATTACTGCTCTAATTAGTACTTCAGAAGTTAATAGGCTTTAAGGGCCTATCATATTTAATCAATCTAACAAGAATAACAACTTGAAGCTTCAAGAATGGTACAAACTAGATTCATTTAGAAAGGTATAATCATGAGTGAATACTCAGGGCCTCAATCCATTTTAAGGAACAACCTCACATATCTTTAGGAAGTTGGAACTAAAATAAAGGAAAAAATAGCAACTGTTACTAGTTTTAAAAGAAAGAAGAGAATATACTACTAAATTCATGAAAAAGAAGTTGACTATTTCCACGTTGACCTTCCATTTATACCCTTAAAAAACTCCACGATTGTGCCTCATTTTCCTTCTCCTTTATGAATGTACTTGATGTTCATTTTAACCAAACTGCATTGGTTCACCATTACAGAGATAGTGGGGGAACAAACTATCTGATTTGCCTAAGCCTCTAGATGGAAAGCCTGAAATGGGTAAGAAAGAGAGGCTGAGCACAGTGGTTAAAGTTCCAGGGCTATCAAGATAGCTTGCAATCACTGCAGCACAAGGTCAATCCCCTGTCAGGGAGCTGACCCACATGGCATAGCAGACCTCTCCTGTCTCGCCACTGCTCCCCTCAGCAGTGTGTGTCAGTGGATGTGCCTGTTCTGAGACCCACTCTCTCTCTCTGATGAATTCTCTCAGCCCCCTGCTCCTTGCATAAATAAATCTTATTAAAAATAAAACAGATGGCCCTCCCTGGTGGCGCAGTGGGTTAAAGCACAGCACTGAGAATCTAAAGCCACTTCCACATGAGTTC